TAATACTTCCTTTGATTTCTTGACTACTGCTTCCATGAACATTGGTTGTGGATCCAAGCAAAATGAAGTCTTTGACAACTTCAATCTTTTATCCATTTATCCTGATGTTATTTATTGGTCCAGTTGTGAGGATTTTTGTTTTGTTTTAACTTGAGGTGCAATCCATACTGATGGTTATATGATCTTCTTTGATCTTCATCAGTAAGTATTTCCAGTCCTAATAGCTTCTAACAAACACAGTTGTATCATCTGCATATCCTCCAATATGGATATCGTGTTCTTCTTAATATAATATGATTATTTGCTCAGCAGACAGATTGAATAAGTATGGTAAAAGATTCAACCCTGGCACACACCTTTCTACTTTACTTGATTTTATCTGTATCCTGGTGTTCTATCAACTGACTGCCACGTGGTCTGTGCACACACTCTGCACAAATACAGTGAATTTACTTTTAGAAGTTATCAAAAACTGCTAGAAAAATATTTTATCACAAACTGAAACTTATATTGAGACTTCAAGTTTGAATAGAACTACCCCATTGACTAACAAGAATCATTGTGACATTAAGACCGTTATTGACCAACCTGAGGGCCATGGGCTTTATATTAAGATTATTAAGACATTCAGGTGGAAAACCTGAAATGGAAAATAGGTCGCATTTTGTGATATTTTGTTGCAAGTATTATATGAGCGCTTTCAAATATGAAAAGGGATATTAAACCATACCACTACCAACAAAAGAAAGATATACTTCAGTTTTATAGTCTGCCAAGGAGAAAGGGGAGACCAGAACTAGAAAAAGGGAAGAAATAGATAACAACATGATGAACAGCAGACCTTTGTTGTTGCCGGTGACTTCAAGTCAGTTTCCACTCATAGCAACCTTATGCACAACAGAATGAAACACTGTCCTGTCCTGCGACATCTTCACAATCTTTGTTAAGCTTGAGCCCACTGCTGCTGCCACTATGCCAATCCATCTTGTTGGGCTTCTTCCTTTTTTCCACTGACACTACACTTTACGAAGCATGATGTCCTTCTCCAGGGACTGTTCCCTCCTGAGAATGTGTTTAAAGTATGAGAAACGAAGTGTCACCATACTGTCTTCTAAGGAGCATTCTGGCTATGTTTCTTGCAACACAGATTTGTTTGTTGTTCTAGCAGTCCATGGTACTT